TATTTATTTCACTGGAAAGAGGATTTCTGGCTTCCTACGGTATAAACCACCTACTTAAAAATATCACACACTCACTCACTCTCTCTCTCTCTCTCTCTCTCTCTCTCCAGCAGACCAATGGGGGAGATGAAACATGGTTCCAAGCCTACATCCTGTCTTCTTTGATGCTGGGGCTAGCAAGGGGTGGGGGGGAAGGTGGGAGACTGAACCAACCTCTGGCACAAGCTACAGCAGCCACCACCAATTTATGCCAACTGGAATGATCTCCTGGGGACAAGGCTGCTGGCCCTGGATTGCTGGAGTGCAGTACTTTCTGATCTCACCTGCTCCTGTCATGCCACTACTTCTCCTGTAGCCTCCCCAGTGTGGACAGGGAGCAGGAGCAGCTGGAGTAAAGCTGGCTGCGGGGTTCCTTTGCATCAGGCAACTCCCTAGTTGCCTCTTTTGGGGAATTTTTAGTTGGTGCAAAAGGAATGTAACCAGAGCTAAAGAGCTGGCCCTCTCTCTTTATGTAACAACGGGTCAGAATTCTGTTCTTGGTTATTGTACCGGGCTCCCCTCACTGCTAGGGTGCCTCCTCCTGGCTGCTCTGAGGACTAGCTGCTCCCCTTTCTGTTGCTTGTTCGTGCACCCTGTTGCCTCCTCTCTCTCTGTGACTCAGGGAGCTCTCTCTTTGTTGCTTGGCCCTCTGGCCAGCTTGCTGTGTGTTTTCCCCTTCCAGGGGTTATCAAAATCTCTCCGTCCAAAATGGCAGTCTTCTCCCCCACTGTCCTGATGGTGCCAATTCCCCAGTGGCTGGTAGGGAAACCTGGGCCCACCTTCTACTCTGGGTTCCACCTTCAGGGACTGTCCAATCAGCAGCCAATGTCTGCAACATCTCAATTTGCTGCTGTTTCTCAGAGCCATTTCCTACTCCACTTCTCTCAGGCTTTCGCTGCACCACCTTCTGGGTAAGCCCTGCCTTCAGGGCTGGATCCCTGGAGATATCTATTGTCCCCTGGGTTTCCTTCCTTCCCACTGTAGCACCCAGAGCATGGCTGCAGACTCCCTCACTGCAGTCCTGCTCTGCTACCAACTTCCTGGCTTTATACTAGCTGTTCCTGTTCCTTCTCAGCGGGGCTCCATCCTCACTCTGGGGTTACTTAGGACACCTAATTCCCCTCAGTTGAGGCCTATTCATGTAATTGGCCCATTCCTAAGCTAGTGTGGGATGAACAACCCATCACAGTTATACTGTTTATTTTCCCCTCAACAGGCCCAATACTGCAGCAAATGAGGAAATTCCACCCATAGGCAAAATGCTGAAGGAGGAAATGACACAATTTCACCATTGTTTTGATCAAACATAGCTGTCTTTACCTTGAAACGTGTACAGGAGAGCAATGATCTTTGGGATTTACTCCATTTTAACCAAAGACTAAATTCTTCTCTCAGGGTGATTGTTATTGTAAATAGTTAGAGGTGAACTGAAATGATTAAAACAAGCCAGCAAGTGATTTACAATCCTAAGTAAGTGTAAACAAAAAAATATGTAATTTTAAAGGCAAAATAGTTGAACAGCTGTTCCTCATTGTAAAGCGGTGATTCCCAAGCCCCATCTCCTGCTCTGAGAACACCTTAGCCAGACCACACAGTCTGACCCTGCAGCTTGAACTTGTTAGTTTGGGGCCAGATCTTCACATCTTGCCAAGCTGCATCTGGCACAGAGCCAGGGGATGGAAAGACGAGCTGACATAAAGCCACCTTTGACCACCCTGACGCTGGGGCTGGCCAGGATCTGTCTGGTCTCCCATGTAAGTTGGAGCAGCCTGAAGGTAAGTTATACCTAGCTGACTATGGCCAAAATTTTCAAATCCAATTGCCTAAACTAAGGCTTTTAAATTGCTATTTAGGCAACAATGGTGAAATATTTTTTTCAAAAGCAGTTTTGATTTAAGAGTACAACTCCCATTGACAGCTTGAACTATGTCTACACATAAAACTTATACCACTTTAGCTATACTGGTATAGTTAAAACAGGACAATCCTGCTAGTGTGGATGTAGTCATATCTATATAAGGGTGCTTATCCTGGTGTAGCTTATTCCTTTATGGGATGGGGAATAACTAAACTGGTATTGCCAGTAAAACTGTGTCCACATTAGGGCTTTTGCTGGTATAACTATATCGGTAAAAATACAATCAAAATAAAATCACCCACCACCCACAATGGAAATAATTCTACTAGTAGGTAAAGCTTGTGAGTGTAGACCAGGGCATAGGCACTTCTGAAAATTGCCCCCTGCATGCCTAAACATGGATTTGGGACCCTTACCCTTAGGCACACAGGTTTGTAAATACTGTCTGTAGCTAGAGTGAATGGCAGCGTCCAGAAGTCCTAATGTAAGGCCAAACGTTGAGCCAGTTCTCTACATACCAGTGCTGTTTGTGAAATAAGTGGCTTGTCAATAGTCCATGCACTAGTGAGTACCTAGCTTCCCGGCTATTAAAACTTTGTAGGAATTATGGCCAAGATTTTTCAAAAGTGACAACTGATTTAAGGGTGCCTCAATGTTTGGATGTCAACTTGCGATACTAGTTTTCACAGGGTGACTGCTCAGTACTTTTTGAAAATGAAGTCCCTTTAACATAAACCAAGTGTATAATAGACACAGAGAGTTACTAGTCACTTTCCAAAATCTTGGCTCACCGCCTGTAGTAAATATTCTCACCAGTGAAAACAGAAACACCCACCATGCTGCTGCTTCTTCAGAAATAGCTGGAGGGCAGCAGATGGTTGCTGTGACGATGCTGGACTCAGGTTAGTCAGTGAGACAAAAAGGATCTGGCCAGAATTACAAGAAAACTATCCTAACTAATTAGACTATTTTTAATTAAAGTGAGGAGGCTCCCAAAGCAGGAAAGAGATTTTGTAACATACTGATACATTATGGAACCTGATTTTTTTTTTAAAGTTCCTTTTACACGTTACATTTATTGTATCATCTACAAAATACCTTTAATAAGCCTTGGGTAGCTGTGAGTTACAATACTCTGCTTTCTTCTTAATGTTTCTTGCTAAAATTCACATTGTGTTTGGCTCTTCTTGGCATCAGCATGTGTAGCTGTTGAGGCTTTGTTGCTGATTTGGAAATAGAAACACCTGGCTTAAATCAATCTCAAATATAGAATGAAATATAAGATTGGCCAGTACAGTGATCTTGAAATTCTCTTACTGGATGTGCTTTCCTCCATTGCCTCTTCATGCACTTACTAACTTTCCTTTCAAGGGTAAAATATTATTTCCCTATTTGCATAGCTTAATAGGCAGCATGTTAATAAATGACAGAGAAATACATGCTAAAGCAAGGGAGGGCAAACTTTTTGGTTGGAGGGATGCTTCCGGTTTCCAAAATTGTGTGGAGGGCTGCTTAGGGGAGGCTGTGCCTCCCCAAACAGCCAGGGCGTGGCTCGCCCCACCCCCCGCTTCTCACCCCCTGACGCGCTCCCCTCCCCCGGAACTCCTGCCCCATCCACTCCCCCCGCTCCCCCAGGACTCCTGCCCCATCTAACCCTCCCTGTTCCCTGTCTCCTGACAGCCCCCGGAAACCCTATCGACTGCCCCCCACC